TTGGAAATAATAGAGAGGAAAAATCGATTTCTAGACGAAGCTGGAAGAAGAAGTATGAATACTTTAGCAGGGAGCTGTAGGTCTTAAATAATTTCCTGTTGTACGTCAAAAGTAATTTGTAGTCCCGGTGGATTTCTAGCTCAGGTTGAAAACTGCCTGTAGCTTTGATTAGATTTCATGTAGGAAGCCATTTACATGTCAGACACCCTGCAATCAGAGCTAAGAGAACTTCTAAGACATAATATTACTCTGATAATATGAATACTTTTATGAGGTACTGGATAGAGTTTAAAACGGCTCGTTTGAAATCTAAATGCTTAAAAAAAATTGTATAGATCTAAAACTGAGCTTATAAGCAGTCTTTTTATTCACTTCAAGAAAATAACTAACTGGCTTGTAACCATTGATGGACATACAATGCATCATCTGGACTCCAGTAATTTAGGTATTAAGATATTTCATAGAGAAGACATGCCTTCAAGCAGCAGGGTTTGTTTCATGACGGCATCGTGGAAATGTGGCTGCAGCAGCACCCCCTACCGGCGGGTAGCGGAAAATGTGTAAGGCTGCGGTCCTGATGCTGAGATGGAGCGGATGCTGCACAGCGATGGGTGGGGGAGCATAAAGCAGGTTTTGATGGAGAAAAAAATGTGCCTCAGTCTCTGTGGCGCAATGGAATAGCGCGCTGGACTTCTAATCCAGAGGCTCCGGGTTCGAGTCCCGGCAGAGATGTGTTTGTGTCGGTACAGATTTTTTTAGGATGTGGCAGATTGATAAATTTGAATCAAGGCAAATGTGTCTTTTAGCCTCTCCATCTGTGGTATATTGTAAAAGGTTTTTCAGTTTGCTGGAAACAGAAGATGAAGGAAGATATGACACCGTCTATGAATCATATCCAATAATAAAAAAAAAAAAGCTTGTATGTAAATGACAAAAATCCTTGCAATACAGCTTTTAGTGGACCAGCACAGCACACCTTTTCATGCTCCTGGGGCTGCATGCTCAACTGCACTCAGTCATCACACAAACATAACAGGACAAGTCAGTTTAGTGCAGCCTCACCGAGGCAAAGTCACCGTTTCAGCACCTGGAGCTGTCCGCTCCTCATGTGCAGCGCCAGCAACAAAGCATTTAAAGCCTTTTCCGCCCTCATAACAAGTGCTTAATGATGCCAGATGCTGCGTTTCTGTTCTCAAATATGGTGTAACAACGCAAAGAGTGAGAGAGATGAAGTGTCACTGTGACAGGAAATGGCGCCGTTTTAAGATTGCCGAATACAAATGTTGTGTTAATGTAGTGGAATCAAAGGGCTGACCTCTGTTTAATGTATTAAAAAAGGAGAAAAGGTGGCTTTTATCTTTAGAACAGCACATTGCCAAAATCTAGAATCTAGATGTGCGTTTAATTTCTTGATTTTCCTACATTGTGGAAAACAGCTGGTTCCTTAAAGATCACCTTTTATTGCATCTTATTTTGTATTTTCCTGAAAACCCCTCGCCTCCCCCTCGAGGATTCCTTCTTTTTGCAGCCGCCACCATCCACGTTTAACCCCATCATGCCTCCCCACATGCAAAACCTAATCCTCCAGTAAAACTAATCCTTAATCCCTCTCTGGCAAGTTGAACAACCCTGCCTCCCCCCGTCCCTCCACCGCTGTTATAGCTCGTGATTCCCTAACAGGCCACATGCATGAAATGTCAGTAGCCTATGAAACGTCAGATCCCCAAGGAGTTCCCTTTGTTAAAAGATACACAAACTAGTTGCTGCTGGTAAAAACTAAAGTAAAATCATATGTGGCATATTTGATATTCATTCAGTTTTTTTTACATGACTTTTTATGCATTTTTTAAAAGAGACCCCCAAGGCCAAAGACTGAGTGCCATGATTACCATATTGCAAATTATGAAGCCTGTGGGAGATAATAAGGAGCGTATCTACCAGAAATAGGGTAATGGCTCTATGTCAGCTGATAAGAAACATCAGACCCCCAGTGAGAGCCGAACACAATATGCAGCAGATGACCTCCTCATTTTACAAAATTAACCACTGTGTAGGCTTAAATCCATCAGATAGGTGTCTACACTATACAAATTACTAGTGAATTGGATTAAATTAATATTTACCCTGGAAATCATTGAGATTTTAATCAGATGAGTTTGTAAATGTAACATTCAGTAAAGTTTATTATTTATTTGACAGGGACAACTTCTAAAAGCTTGAACTATGAAAGAAACCTAAACATTTATATTAGTATTTAGCTGACGATGTTGGTTCAGTCAATTGTTGCTCATCTTATCCAGCAGGGAATGAAAAGACTGAGAATATGTTTATATGGGTTCTGACTGAATATATCAACTTATTTAAAGTGAAGTTTTGTGTTGACAAAACTTGAACAAGAATTAAAGTTTGCATTGAACTTATGATACCTTAGTGTGGCCAATGGACGACACGTCAAAAGAAGCAGGTGTGGTGCTAATTATTAATAATTCTGAATGTTTTTTGTTTTCTGTCACGAAGAACACCTTTGGTAGAATTCTATTCATCTACATAACATATGTAAAAAAACAGCATGGGGTCTCCTTGAGCGTATAAACTCTGTCCTTTATGACTAATAATTGAACAGGAATGAGCTGAGAATAATTATCGTTCTTCATTGTTTATTTTACTAAGACTGAGCATCTCCCAGCTGAATCTGGACTCAGCCATGGTGCAGATGTTCACCTCCAGCAGATGTGAGAAATACTGATTAGTTTGTGTCTTCACTGTTTCGCTCCTACAAAACTTAGAGGCGCAATGTCTTTGGCATATTTCAAACAAAACAAACGAGGATTAGACACGTTTTTTAAGGTATGCAAATAATAAGAAATAATTGTTCAAACGTCTTGCAGTGGTTTTCCATACTATAAGGTAGAGATGAGTGTTTTATTCTAATCTTTGTCAAAAGTTATACTAACAGTAGATATTTGCTTATTGTAATTGTTTATTTTTGTTGTGTTAAAAAACAGCTGAAGATCTTTAAATTAGAGGCTAGGCTATGACATCATCCTTTTTAACGGATGCTTGTAGGTTTTGTACAGAAAAAATACAACAAAATAAAGCTTAATCATTTCCATCTTTGAAACGTATGTAGGGTTTATAAAACATCAATTCTTGACCCTTGAGCTACTGGCCCTTCCCAAAGACTTTGACTCAAACTGCTACATCAATTTTAGTTGCTAAAATCTACCAGTTAATTTTCTCCAGTGTACTCTGTATCCAAACTGTAGATAAAGTGAGCATCGGTGTCACAGTGTTGTTCTACAGCAGTGATAAAATTCCTCAAAGCCTGATAAGGTCACTATAAAGTCGCTGTGAAGTGATACAGGGACGTTATGGTGATATTTCAGTGCGTTGAGATCACACTTCCCATATCTGCTCCATCTCCTTCATGTTGCTCTCAGCCAGTAGGCCCCTGCTCTGGGCCTGTTATCCCGGCGGTGTGGGCCAAATCGTATTATAATCCCCTCCCTCCCCCTCTCCAACCCTTCCTCTCCCTGCTTGTCCCCTCCCCTCCCGCTCCGTCTTTCAGACAGTCTGTTTTTGCTGCAGTGAACGGTAACCGTGGAGAGGCAGAGATAGCCTACAAACAGTGGGGAAAGAGCGAAGGAACAAAGCAGGTGAAACGAGAAGAAGCTGGGAGATTATTCCAAGAAAATAAAAAGAGAGAAGGCACAGCGGTGGGGGAGAAAAAATAAAGAAACCTGCGCATCAGGAGAGTCATTATTGGAAGGGACCTTACTGGAAACCAGCAACAGAACCGGACTCCGGAGGAGGAATATAACGGTGTGTGCGTTCAAACCGTGCGCTGGTTCAGTTTGTGTTGTGGTTCGGGGTTTGGCTGTTTGGCATGTTTGGGCGGACAGGAGACACCTGTCAGTGCTGACGCTTTTCCGTCTCCAGGAATGTCTCTCTTTGTGCGTGTATGTGTGTGTGTGCGCGCATTACGCAGAGCAAGATCCTAAGAGTGTCTGCGTGTCTTGGTAATTTACTCCAAAAATGTGCGTTTTCTTGCGCGCTCCTCGGTTGTTTTGGCTACGATGTTCTGTGGGAAAAATAAGCATCACAACTCGCTGGGAGTGAATCTCATCCCAGCGGCGGCGGCAGACTGGAGGGTTTTTATTCCCTTCTCCAAGTACGGAACAAGATGTTAGAAACATTTGTGTGGTAGCTACTCGTCGTAACAATGCAGGTAGCCTCCAATGTCAACTGTCGTTATGGTTATTATCGCGTCTGTTATTACTTTCAACACAAGTGCCCAGCGGGAACTTGTGTTCAGCACGCCCATGTATACAGAGAGAGAGAGAAAGAGAGCGTGTGGGTTATTTCCCATGCATTCACTTGCTTGAGTTTTGTTTTTATTTCTCGCCATCACTCAACAGGAAGGGCTGGAGTAACAATAAACATAACCCACAGTCCCCCCTCCTCCTTCCATTCCCACACATCCCACTCCATGCAAAATGCTGGCGCCCCCCAATACACGCACAGGCACAGAGAGGCGCACACATGCACCGCACCGCCCTGCACCCCACCCTCTCTCCTCTCTCCGCGCCCGTCCCGCTGGCTCTAACTACCGCCGCCGTTCGCTGTCAGCGGTGAGCGCGCCGCAGATGGACAGAGGGCTCACCTCCGCGCGGGGCTGCAGCTATTTTTAAGAAATGCGAGAAAGGGGAAACTGAAAGTGTGTGTGCGTGTTTCAGTACGACAGAAAGAGAGCGGGAAGGGTAAGGAGCAGTGCCAGAGCTGATTTTATGCCCGACATTCGTGTCCAACGCCGAGCAGAGCGCACTGTGCTCGCAGCTAATTCTCAGCGGGCAGCAGGTGCATCTTTGCTCTCGCTTCCTCTTTCTTATTTCCTGTTTGTTGTTCGAGGCAGCGCTTCCTTTTTACGTTACATTTAATTAGTGGGGGTTCGGCCATGAGCTGTCCAGAAACACGGGTATCTCTCACTTCCAGTTGCGCGCATGAGCTCGTTAAAGCGCAATAAATTCCCCAACTTAAGATAATAAGACATTTTCTTCCTCCTCTCCTTACACCACGCGCCCCTTCTCCATCTCCATCTCCATCGCTTTCTTGTAGCTTGGCTTCAATACCCCCTCCTTTCCTCCTCCTTTCTCAGCCCCCCCTCTCTCAGTTTGTTATGACAAAAGCAGATCGATGGCTACCCGGAGCGACGCGTGAGTAACGGGTGGGCCAACCGTTTATTCACTCAGCGGCTGGGGACGCAATTAGTGGTCAGTTGGCCTGCCCGCTCTGCCTGTTGTTTTTAGCTTCTCCATTGTGTTTCCCCTCCTGCAGGTGACACTCCAGAGCCCCTCTGCCCTCCTGAGCTTTCAGTGAGACAGGCGGATCTGCGTGCCCGACCATGGCCTTCCCATCAGCCCCCTCTGCTCTATGGATTGCCAGCTTATTGACGGCACTATTCACAGCTGCGGTTCACAGCAACATTGTCAATGGTAAGCACATCTCTCTCTCCCTCTTCATCTGTCTTTCTGTATTCTCTCAGTGTCTCTCCTGGGGCCTCTGACCTCTCTGACCCTCTCTTTCTGCCTCTGGTGGAGCTGCCTAACTGTCCACTTGTTGTTTCCTGTATTATGAAAAGGGGAGCAGACAATGTTATTAAGCATATGGGACACTCCCACCTCCCCCTCTCAGTGGAATTTTGTGCAGTTGTGTTGTTTTGAGGAACGTGTGTATGATTTCCACATGGATCTGGAGTTCAGCATGCATGCAAGCTCATTTCACCTAAGCTTGTTTTTCACAAATACAGTGCCACACAAAACTTGGAAAAAGTGTTTAATTTCTCTAAACTAAATGGTGAAACTTTGTAAACACTTTGTTGAACTGATATTCACTGATGTTGCATCAGCAAATCCAATTTAGAGACAGTATTTTTTGGCTTTGTGAAACAGCTCAAGCTGAAGGTACCTTTTTGTGTCTCGCCAAATATTGTCATTGAGATTTCATAGACAACTTTCACAAAGCATCATGCTGCCACCACCGTGTTTATCTGTGGGATGACGTGTGAAGGTGAAGGGTAAAGTACAGGATTAGTTTGCTTGTAGATCAGAAAACTTTGATTTGATCTTATTTTATCATCACATCTATAAAATGAGGTTTTTGCTCTTTCTGCTTGGCAAAACAGTGTTCGCTCAGATAAACTGGACAAAGAGTGTCTGTGAAGATCAAGTTTGAAGCATTGCCAATGATTGTTGGTTGGATTTGGGTCTGTGCTTTGACTGAGCCAGGAATGAATATACTCTGATCTTAACTATTTCATTGTAAGTCTGGCTGTAGGTTTGTTCCTGCTGATGTTGAATTGAGACTCAAGCTTGCATGTTTTATTCCAATGTTCCCATCAGCTATAACCAGCTTCACTGTCTCTTCTGAAGAAAAGATTCTCATAGAGCGAGCAAACTCTGGTTCACCTACAAACCTAAGATTGAAGTGAACTCTGGTGCAGAGTTGGTGCAGAGTTCACTTCAGGCCTCTTGTATATGTGAATGCAAGAGGCCTGGATTCTGGGTAAACTGTGTGTTTAGCACAGGGCATTCTGGGTAAACACAACCTAAATGAGCATGCAAACCTAGCTGTAGAAGGAAAATGGTTTGTGGTCTTATGGTAAAAACAAAAGAGAAATCAGGCACTACATTTTTGTTGACATTTTGTGAAGAAGGAAGTTGCAGTCGTGCCTTTGCTGGATTTTATATGGAGGTTACAGAGTAAATGGGCTGAATACTTTTCTAATTTATGTTAACAAAATTCCAATAAAATACATAACAATTTGGGGTTATAAATTGACAAAATATGAAAAATCTCAAAAGGAATGAATTTTTCAAAGCTCTCACACACAGAGAAAGCGAACGAAGTCTGAGTTTTTTGGCTTTAGTTTTCAGCATCTCGCAAAATTTTTTCTGGTGCTCTGCAAACCATCTGTTTATGTCGAAGCTTCATACAACCTGGAAAAACAAGACGATCATCTTGTGCTTTCTCAGATTGCAGCCAAACACGTTTCCACACACTTTGCAGCTTAGATACAGAACACTCGTCATGGCTAAAACTGTAACTGCGGCTGAAGCGGATGGTAAAAGAGGATTTGATGAGAGAAGCACTTTGTAATGATATCATCCCCGCTGCGAGTACCAAGTGAGCAGGAATACACTGTCCAATGTGCTTCCCAATTACATAACTCTCAAGTGACTGCCTGCCGGTAACACAACCTTCAGAGGGCAGCTTGTACCCGACACAAAATGGTGAGCAGCGATTGGCCCTCGAGCCATTGAAAATTGATTGACACAGGTAGAATGTTGTCGCCATTTTCTCATTACAGTTGGGGTTTTAATTGCACAGAGTGTTTGGCACAGAACAAAGAGAGATTTCAGCAAGCAAGGAGCCTTCTAAAAGACATTCTCTGATTTGCATTTGGAATACATGCTCTTAAGGGCCCTCCACATTCAGCTGATCTCGCCTACACATTTTTTTGCAACCACACCATAACCGAGTATGATATGCACACCCGCACATCTTCGAGATTCTTTTTACATCATTAATCCATATGAGCAATGTTTTAATTTCTTTTGAATTAAGTGCTATTTAGTTTCTGTGCAAAGATTATTAATGTGTTCCTCCTGTGGACAATCTGCCTGTGCTAAAATGAGTAAGAAATTTGGAGCGCGGTGAGCTGCTTAAAGAGAGTTAGAGGAGAAATGGCCGCCCCAGACTGAGCCTCTGATGATGAAATATCAAACTCTTGTCAGTTTGCTGACCCAGACACGTGTAGCTCGTCATTGAAACCCAGGTAGAGGTTCATTATTTGGGCCCCAAAATGATTCTGGCTCCCGTTCAGAAGCGTGTCACATTTGATTAAGGTGTGCCCACAGGGAGGCCTGACCATGCATGACCAATTCTTGCTTTAGTTTCACCTGAGCACTGTTTTACATTATCATGTCAGTCAACGAGAGTAATTAAGCCTGAGACGTCTGACAGCATTTAGGAGATGAGAAAACACGTCAAAGAGTGAAAGTGAAATGCAGGATGAGGGATGGAGCGCTGGCCTCTACTGCGGCTTTAATCTGCATGTTTTAATCTAAAGCGTTGCAAAGAATTTTTCTTGTATAAAACTTTAATTAAAATCAAATTCACTTAATACAACTACTTTGAAATAAGTCAGAATCACTTAGAATAGGTTCGACAATAGGATCACAATATTTCACAAAGTGAACAACGTCTCAGTGTCCTGAATACAAAATGAAATGAATACAAAATGAAACTGGGTTATGGATAAAAAAAAATGTACACGCTTACAGCGCCTTGCAAAAGTATTCCTACTCCTGAACTTCTCACAGGTTCTTTTCCCCATGGTTTCTCTGTATTTTCACTTCCCATCAACCTCAATCAGTTTCTCTGTCCCTGCTAGAGAAAACATCCCCCCAGCATGATGTTACCAACACCATGTTTCACAACAGACATCTAATGGGATAGACCAAATGATTTTGCAAACATCTGATCATAGAATCTTTTTCTACAAGTTTTTTGAGTCCCTTAGATGACATATTATAGCTAACATATTATAGGTTTCTTTGTGCCATTCTTCCATTGAAGGCAAACTGTGACTAAAAGTTGCCCTGGTTACACATTCCCATCCTATGATGCAGAGTTACAGAGACATTTTGGCTGATTCTCCTATTGACTCAACCACTTCTTTGGCTTAATGTTGGTAGGTTTACAGTTGAGTCATAGGTTTTTATTTTCTCCATGGGACTTAACATTTTTCTCTAATTTAACCCTTGACCTGTATGCTGTATTTCTTGGTCTTCATAGTATTGTTTGGTCACTAATGTTCTCAATAAACATTAGTTTGAAATAATTAATAATTGATTATTTGGAGGCTTCTGAATGAATTGGATTGTTTTGTTTTTAAAAGTATCAGAATGGCTGCACTGTGGTGCATTTATTAGCTCTGTTTTCAGGGCCTTTCTGTAACAGATTTGCATAGATGCATGTGACAACAAAGGCAATTGCTCTCAATAAATCTTAAGGGAGCATTTCAAATCCTGTATTAGTTGAGTAAGGTGCTGGAAAGCATCAGGTGCGGTCCCACTGATGAACCTGGAGAAACCGCTGAGAGCCTTGGGGAGTTTCTCTTTTCTACCTGAAGGGCCAGACACTCTGGAAATGAGTCGTTAGGTTGTGTCTGTTGAGCTTTTGCAAAATCTGTGAGAGAAGTAGTCAGTGACAGTATTTATCACGCCCAGCCTTACCCATAACTTCAGCCGGTCTCCTAGGTGAATGTGTGGGCTCCTATGATGCAAAATATGCATGTTAGCATAATTAGCCACTATAAATTGCCTGTAGGGATGAGTGTGTTATTGCTTGATTATTTTCTTGGCCTGTGATGGACTGGTGGTCTGTCCAAGGCGTCCTCTGCCTCGCGCAGAGTGACGGCTTGCTGTTTTACACCGCTTCAGATTTCATTTAACGGTTTCAGACTAAAAGCTATCAGTTTTTATTTCTAAAAATACGTGAAACTATTTCTCTACTTTCTTCTATTTCACAGATGACCTACTTTCTGAGTCTGTCACCTAAAAAAATTATTAAAATACGCATAAGTTTGTGGCTGCAGTCTTAACAGATGTGAAAAACTCAAGATGGATGAATCCTTCTCAAAGGCACTGTATGTTAATCTTGTATGTGCAGTTTTGCAATTGACATGTGAGTAATGCCCAAACAGCCTGGCTGAACTTTAAGCAGGAAGTGTAAGCCTTGTGCACGTGTCCATCGCTCACATCTGCTCTGATCAGTCTGATTGGTGTTGTTGTGACACTGAGGCAGAGCCGTTAAGTAGAAGATGGATTAGAGTGGTTGAGTAGTCAGATAATGGGTCTTTATAATGGAGAAGTCCACACAAGGAGGACCTGGAACAGAATGGACTACTTAACATAAATAATTCAGCATTATGTATCAGAGAGAAAAAATGATTAGCTCAGCAATCAATGTTGGAGCAGATGAGCCTTCTGAAAGCAGGGGAGCCCATTATTGCTCGGCTGCTTGAGTCGTCAGTAAATTAAATTTACAAGGACTCCTTTGTCTCAAACAAACATGAACAAAAAAATCAGAAAATGTTATTTTTGAAGGGGCAGTATTATGCATTTTCCAATCATATAGTGTAATTTTACAGCACAATCAAATAGCTACATTGCTGTCAGTTGTTATAAAAGTGCTACATATTTACTAAATATTATTATGACTTAAAAGTAATCATACACCTTTAGGAAGTTATCACAACAGCACTCTTCTTTTAACCTTTAAGCATTTTTACTAGTGTCGTAGGTGTTTGCTAATTGCTGCCGCTAGTCTGAAGAAGCTGAGTGGGGGAATCGCAGGATAGGGTTGCACTGTGAGGCGGAAATTTAGAACCTCAGAAACTGCATGTCCAAGGAGGAGGTAGGTCTTGGCA